CGCGTAGATTTGGTAAAGTTAAGAGTTAGGCGGATCCTAACGTCTTGACCGCAGTAAGCCACAGTTAAGAAACTTCAAGTAGAGACTCGATAACGTGACCACCTTGAGTTGAAGAATTCCACGGTGACAATATATAATAATTTACTATAAAATTTATGTTAAAATATTCTAAAAGTAATAAAATTTTCAAATACCAGTCAGCATTTGTAAAAATTTTCTTGATTTTTTAGCTACAATTCTGATTTCTATATAGAATTAATAAAGAAAAAATTTTTTTTATAAAATAAATGTACATTTTAAATAAGTTTGCATCAAGCATAAATTTAATTGACCTGAAATTTTAAATATGAACTTTTTTTAATATTATGAACATTTACTTGATCCACATTACACATTAGAACCAAAAAATTTGAAACTTAATTATAACTGAAAGTTTGCATTAAAACCATCAAATTTTTGGATAAGTTCCAAAATATTTAACTAAACTTAAGTCTTCATTATGTTGCATAACTTTACATAAAGCACCAGAGTTAAATTAATTAATAAGAAAAAATTTTTTATTAGAGCCGATATTTGCTGATCAGTCACATGACTTTCAAGGTGTCGGATACTTTTGATCACCCACTGTATGTTGAAGAAAAATGATTATATAAATGAGTGAAAAGTTAAAATTAACAATAACAAGATAAAGAAATAAAGATAATTAAGATTTTAGTTAGTTTAATAATATAGTCAAATAGTTTGTATCAAAATAAAAATTATGTAAAATATCCGAAAACCCAAAAAATTTTTCGATAGGGTATTCTTCATTTAACATACTGGTATGATAAGAGAAGTTGCAAAATTATTAAATTATTTCTGTTTATAAAAGTTTATATACCATATATTGTGTCTAAAGTTAAATTTAATGATATGATTCTAATTTAAAATTAAGACAACAAAAATAAACTGATCGATCGTTTTATTTATGAGTAACCAAAATACCTTTATAATCGCCAATTAATATAATCAAAATAAAAAAAAAAATTAGCCTATTTCGGACTTTTGGTTACACATAATTTTGCGTTAAATTGATTTTTAATCGTGAAAAAATAAATTTTTCGATTCGAAACACAGCTATTAAAGAAAACGGATCAAATATTAGAAACATATAATGAAAAAATTTTCTATAAACAATTAGGGGGGATTTTTTTAACATTAGAAATCCCTTTAACTTTAATATAATATATTCGGTCAGTTTTCATTCGTGATTCTCAAAACGTTTTAAAATTCGTTAAAACAACTTTCTTTATACGATTTCATTATATACCTTTTTCATTATGGCTGAAATTTCTTCTAACTGGCGTTTTGATAAAGCTGACTATATAAACAACACTCCTTCTCGCCGAGATGGAATATCTCTTTCAGAAGAACGAATTAAAAGAAAGATAGGAATGAAATTCCTCTTAGACGTCAGCTGGAGCCTGAAATTACCTCAAAACACAATAGCAACGGCGGCAACGTATTATCATAGATATTTTATGTTGAGGAGCTTCAAAAAATATCATAAATATGAGATCGCGGGTGCTTGTATATTATTAGCATGCAAAACCGAAGAAACAATGAGAAAAATCTCCCAAGTTTCTATGATTTGTGCCAAATTTGCGTCGAGAGATCTCTCTTCGTACATCAAAAACGAAAAGGAAATTGAAGCATGGTCCAAGACTATCAAAAAAAGAGAACCGGTGGTTGCAGCTACTCTCTGCTTCGACCTAGCAATTAAAAAACCAAAACCATATCAAGTACTGCTCAATTTCTTAAAAAGTTTGGATAGTGAGTTGATTTTTTAATTCTATATACATAATCTTATGTTTCAAACTATCTTGACCATTTTTTATACTAATTAGATGTTGATAAAGATGTATTGCAAAATTTTGCCACCAATGCATGGGCAATAATTAATGATAGGTAAGAAATTTTTTATTTAATAATTTTTAAAATAAAATAATTATTACTAACTTGGTTACTTTCATTAAAGTTACTTAACACCAATGTGTCTATTTCAAAAGCCCGAGACCATTGCAAGTGCAGCAATATACCTTGCAGCGCAAATGGTCGATTTGCAATTAAATATTAATCCAAGTAACGGGTTATGTTGGTGGGAAATTACCGATTGCAGCATTCTTGAATTGGGTATTTGTGTACAAGAAATTTTGGACTCATATCGCATTCCCCGTGGAGAGATAACGAGTCCTGATGTTGCGAACACTGTCTCTACAAGTTCTCCAAGAACAACGAATAATAATCTAAATGGAGAAGCTTATAATTCGGGATCAACGACGCCATTCAACATGAATCCTCGTACAACGTATGTAGGGACGAGGAACGGAGTTCATACTCCGTATGAAAATCCCAGAAACACTATAATAAATGGTGACGAAGAGGTGGAAGATGGTCAAATTACGGAAGATGGTCAGATTGTGGGGGATAACGTAGCGACGACGGCAAACGGTAATATCGCCGATGAAAATGAAATGGATTTGAATTAAAGTGAAAAAGATCAGTTGCCAAACGTCTTTATCTCAAGTAAATCTTTATTATTACTGAGATTAAGAAGAACTTTCCTTAATTGACATTATATTAACATTGGACGTAAAAGAAACATTTAAATCAAAATATATATATATATATATATAAATATATTTATATTTGTCATATTAGCAAAATTTTGTAAATCCTTATCAGTTTCATTATGATAATCGACAATTTACTCTAATTAGTTGTATTTTGTATTATTTTCCACTTGAACTTTTAGAACTAAAGTTGATTAAATTTTAGATCCTTTTTTTTTTTTTTACTTTTTAATATAATCTTTGTGCTACTACTTTTTACCTTTTAGTATTCAATGAGTTTTCAATGAGCTGGTAATGTCGTTTTCTTGATCTCATAAAAATGAGGACTAATTGAAAAATTTTTTAAAAAATTATATTTAGCATTTGAATTACTATAGAACAAAAAAAAAAAAAATTTACGTGTAAATAAAAGAATATGATGCTTAACGCTAATTCAGTTAGCCAAGCAGGATCAATTATTGTTAATTCACGCATAAATGCTTTAGTAGTTTCGACAACTTTTTTTTACGTGTTAAGAAAATTCTTTTAGTACCAAAAAAAAAATGAATGAATGAATGAATGAATTTTATGCAGATACTCCATATCAAAATACCTTCATGAAAAATGACCCAAGGGGCATTACGCGTAAAAAGTACAGATGATGGGTGTATATGCAATTCCTATAGATTAATATTAATATAAACTATTAATTATAACTAACACGTGTTTAAGAATATTATCGTGAAACTTACAACATTATCTCTAATGGTCCTAAACGATCCATTGGGCTGCATCTTAGCAGCATTAGCAAAGTATCCACTGGATAGACATTTCCTAATTTTCACTGTATCATTCCCACATGATTCAATTGGGACATCAAACCTTTCTAAATACTTTTTTAACTGTTGACGAATTGATAAAGCGCGAGAAAGCGCGCGGAAATTTAAACAATGTTGATGACACCATCTAGCGGATTTCTTTCCACGAGTGATGAAAGCGTTGAAAACTTTGTAAATGAATATTATCACAGCTTTAGAAAGATATATATCGTAAATTTAATTTTTTATCCGATTAACTAACCATTCAGTAACGTTATATGATCACCCTCTTCAACTGAAAATTTTCGTTTTTCATCTTCAAATTCAGCTGAAGAAGTTGAAGAGTTGACAAAAACATTCTACGTATGCATAGTGAGACAATATAATTAATATAAGAATTAATTACTATATTTATTAATAGAATTTATATACAATTGATTACCTGAACTGATAGCATTGCGGCAATAGTAAGCATCTCTTCGGCGCATTGGAATTGATACGAGTCCAACAACTATAAATAAAACGTAAACCTTGTAAAGATAATTTAACATAAAAAAATAAATAAGAAGATTCTAAATAAAAAAAATAATAAATAATTATACAATCTTCCCAAGCATTGGGTCAACGGGAAATTCCGCTAATTGCATCCCCAATGGCATAGTGAGACGACCATAATCATCAAGTGCTCTTAAAGAATATAATAACTACAAAAACGAAGAGATTAATTTCTATATTCAACTGAAATGTTTAATAAGAATGATAATTTTAGAGCCATACTTCTAATGCGCGTATCATAAGTTCAGCAGGAGGTGGTGTCATAAAGTCAAATCTTAACACGTTATCAATTCCTAAAGCTTTCAAATGAAGAACAACTTGGGCCAAATTGCTTCTATTTAAATAATTTTATTAATAAGAAATATATAATAATAACTCTTGAGAAATACCTCAAGAAAATTACCTTTGTATCTCCGGGATACTGGAGTCTCTTAGTCGATAGAATGATTCCTCAGTGTATAATCTATAAGCTTTGCCGGGCATAACTCTACCAGCACGACCGGCCCTTTGTTGAGCTGAAGCTTTAGATACTGGAACCACAGTAAGACTTTCCATCCCAGTTTTTGGACTAAAAGCTCGTAACTGAAAAACTGATTAACTTCTTTTCAAACCTAACTTAATGACTTTTTCAATAAAATATATAATTCTACACACCTTAACAAAACCGCAATCGATAATGTATACAATTCCTTCTATCGTAATAGAAGCTTCGGCTATATTAGTTGCCACCACAACTTTGCGAGTATTAAATGGTGTTGGTTCAAATATTTCCATTTGTTGTTCAGATGATAAACCAGCATAAATAGGTAGCGGCATAATTTTCATGGCCGATCGAGGTAAGCTTTAATTTGAAGAGAATGTAAAGAGCTTGTCCATACTAATTAAATATATCTAATTTAAATTAAATATTTAAATACGTTGTAGCTCTTTGCAAAATTTCCCCAACAGTATTATCAATTTCGTCGCGCCCAGTTAGAAATATGATAATGTCTCCCGGAGGTTCCTATAATAATTATGATAAACTATTGGATAATTAAAGGAAGAATATTATTTGCTTTAAGGTTACCTTTACATGGATGTCGAAAACGGTCTGAATTGCTGATTCCACATAATCTTGACAAGGTTCTTCTAGGTAATGTATATCCACTGGAAATGTCCTTCCTTCCAAAGAAATTATGGAAACATTATCCTTACTAGAATCATTTGTTGAATTTGTGTTATAAAAATCATAAAATACTTCTGCATCTAATGTGGCAGAGGAAATGATAATTCTTAACTCGGGTCTTTTCTTCTGAATTCTAAAGATCCGGAAAAAATGATTTATTAGTGAAGCAATTAATAAATAATGTATATTATTTTTAATTTACTTTTTTAAAATTCCCAATAAAATGTCAGTATATAAGCTGCGTTCATGAGCTTCATCAATCATAATCACACTATACTGTGATAATAAGGGATCAAGAAATGTCTCTCGAAATAGCATGCCATCAGTCATGTATTTGATACGTGTTAAGTTTGGATCATAACATTCATCAAATCGAATGCTATATCCGACCTTTATAATAAAGTAGAATTTGATAATAAGTTTACGATGAATTATCATACAGACAGTTTAGTAAGCTCACCTCTTCGCCAAGCTTTACGTTCATTTCAGAAGCAACACGTCCGGCAACTGTGGTAGCAGCCACGCGACGAGGCTAATAAAATCATAAGAAGTACAGAAAACACCGTTAATATCAAGGTATCGAGTAATTATACTTAACATTATTATAATTACAGAAATAATTTGTTACCTGAGTACAGGCTATAACGCGATCACCAGCTGTCCAACCTGCCTCATTAAGATATTGCGGTATTTCTAAAAGAAATTTATTACAGGTATCATACGGCAGACGTTTAAGTTAACATAATACGATTTAGCAACTGATATAAGGAATCAATTAAAAAACAATGCATTAACTTACGTGTCGTTTTACCGCATCCCGTTTGCCCAACGATAATGGTTGTCTGATATTTTTCCACAAGATAAAGTACCTGATCACCTTTTAATAAAGGAACGTAAGTATAAAGTAGTTCAAGTTTTTTTTAGTAAAGTTGTAAACATACGTGATTTGAAAATTGGTAGTCTCTTCCTTTGTTGCTGAATTGACAAATTAGAACTAAGGTTCACAAAAGTCACAATATTTTCACTCGATTCTTTTTCTGCCTCCCGATCAACGCTCGTTCCTATAAATTTATAACTTTAAGTGATCATGATCAGTATTGAAAAATAGCCAAATTTTTAAGCTTAAATACCTGGTGCAACAGTTCCAGGTTTCCAAAAAGCCATTATTGAATAAAATAAATTTAGCAATGTAGTTAAAGAAAATATATATACAAGTATAGAAATTTAAAAATACACATGCAGTCATCGATACCCAAAGTTCTTTCAAATTCGATTTACATAATTTTGCCCAAAAGTTCGAAACTAACAGCAGTACTTTATTATTTGCATTGAAACTTGACTCGGATTTTCTCAATCCTCATCCAAAATATTATTACAAACAGAAAATTAAGTTTATATTGCAAAAAGGAAGTGATAATAAAGGGTACGCGAACCTTTGTCAAATTCCTTCAATTTTTGAAAATTTAACTAAAGACGAAATTAAAGGTTTACTTAAAATATTTATAACACAATTTCTGAATATTATGATTAATATAAGATGGATTTATTAAGAGATTAATTTGAAACATTTGAGTATATATAATTGAAAAGTATTAAGAACATACATAAGAAGACAGATAAAGTTATATATACCTAAGGAATGATAGTTTAGTAAATAGGCAAAAAAATTTTTTGTAATTAGTTTACATAACATATATTTTTTTTATTTAATTATACTTAAAGCTCTAAACAGAGTCAGATCAGGTCAGCTGTTTAATCCTAAAAGTTTTTGGATTAATTTAAATTACTTAGATAAATTAAATAATTCAAAAGGCTTTGTTTTTAATAAGTTAAGTTAAATCATAAATTAAAAAATATTAATTTTTAAAGTATTTCAGAACAGAATAGTTTAATATATTAGTTTAATAATAGCATGATATATTTTTATTAAATTTGAACGTTTCATTATATATGATAGGAATCGTATCAATTTGTTTAACTCTCAAATATCTAGTTGAGAAAGTTCAAAATTTAAAAGCTTATTTGCTATTATTCCAATCTACTTTATCAGAAATACAATTATAAATACTATTACAAATGCAATTATCCTCTGATAAAAAAAGAACTAGTTTAATATTACAGAAACTATCTGATGAATATAATCTGAGATGTATTTCACTTGAAAAAATGAGTGAAGAACTTTAGCATATTACAAATCTTTCTAATTCAGATATATTTGTTACAAATTAATTAAAATTTTCTTTATTTTGTTTTATTTATTTTATAAACTTAGAATAAAGTTGTATAAATTCTTTCTGATTTGAATAATACTTTGTTATTTGACCATATAAGAAAATGGAATGATATTTTCAAATATATTTTTAAAAATATTATACCAGCAATTAATTAAGCTTTAGGCAATATAATGATTTACAATCAGATAGAACTAAAATTTATCTTACAATAATTACACTGATATAGACGTGAAAATTAGCAAATTTTACAAGACAAAATAAAATTAAAAATGAATAAAAAAGGAAAAGAACAAACTCCAGATGTGCTGATATAAATATCTCAAATTACTTATAAGTCTTAATTAATTTATTTGTTTATTATTTATTTTATACTAAGAAAAAAGAAAGAAGAAAATGGAGAATCATTCATATGTACAATGTGAATAATGATATTTTAATTATTTCACAATCACTTTGATAATTCTCTTTACTATTCTGATGAAGTATCAGAAACTGACATCAAAAAAGTAGAAGAAATTAAAAAAATAATAAAACTGAAAAATAAGAATAAATTAGATAATTATCATATTATACGAGTATATAATAAACTCTGAAAATCTAGAAAGGTAAGAAAGTATATATTAATTAAATAATCTTATATCATACGAGCATATGATAAACTCTAAAGATCTAGAAGAGTAAGAAGGTATATATTAATTATTAAACCTTTAATTTATCCATATTTTTTTATTACATATCAAGAAAAATTCTTCATCAGGCTGATATCATCAGTTCTAGTATACAATATATAAAAGTATAATGAAAATAGTGATATAATGATATTGTATATAAGGATAACTCAAAACTACTAAAGTATATATCAGATTGGATGATATTAACTATATATTAAGCAGATGAGAATGTAGAACAAGAAGCTAAAGAAAATATATTTGAATTATTAAATAAAAGATTGAATGAATAGGAACAAAAATAAAGAATATAAAAGGATGAAAAAAAGAGAAGAGTATAAGAGAAAGAAGAAATAAAATGAACACAAAAGAAGGAATAAAGATAAAAAATAAAAGAAATAGAAAAAAGGAGAAGAATACAAAAGAATGAAAAAGAGGAACAAGATAATACACAGAAAAGAAAAAGAAAAGATAAGAGAAGAGAAGATAAATTGAAAAATACAAAAAGAAATAAAAAGAATAATAAGTAATGAGTAAAAATTAAAAAGAAATAATAAGAGAAAGAATAGAGAAATTTAATATATCTATATATATATTTGTATTCATAACATTATTATAGTGAATGTATATGTAAATAATAATATTTATTTATTCATAATAATAATAATATAAAATCAGCATATATTAGTTATTAGTAATAATAAAAGTTTATCATTGAGGTATCAAAATATAATATAAAGTATTGAATAAGATATCAGTAATATTATTATTGAGATATTATTTAAATATCAGAATATTAATATTTGTATAATATTTTTATTATATTTATATAATATTTAATATTCTGATATGTAACTTATTCCTTACTATTCCTATTATTTATAGGTAAGGTATCAGGAATGCATATCATAGAGATATCAGAATAAAATTTATAATATATTGGATAATTATCAGATAACTGATTTCCTATTAATACCTTATTATCTGATCAGTGAATGGTAAATCAAATAATAATTTAGATTTGAATTTGAATTCAAATTTGATAGATTAAATCTAAATCTAAATCTAAATTTAACAGATTAAATCAGATAAGAATCTAAATATGAATTTGATTAAAATCTAATAAATTTGATTTGAATCTAATCTATAAATTAGATTAGATTCAGATTATTTTAAATTTGTGTGAAATATTAATGTATACTGATATTAATAATTATTTTATAATAAAAAAAAAAAGCTTTTAAAAAAATTTTTTTAAATTAATATTAAATCTAAAATTATTTATTAAAAAAATTATATTTAGCTTATAAAAAAAAAAATTTTTTTTAAATTTTTTTTTTATTATTTTATTAAATTAAAATATATTAATCTTAAATTAATTAATTACCTAAATAATAATTTTAATAATGAACTTGATCTATTTATATCATTTTATATTTTTAATTTTATATTTGTTAATTTATTTAATTTATTTAAATATTAATTTTATCAAAACCAATTTGTTCAGTTTAGTTTCATATGCTACTTAAAATTTATTATTTAGCATTGCTCAATTAGTTCAACTCATTTTAATTTGCAAAATTAAAACAGAACTAATATAATTATTTTATTTTTAATTAGTAATCAGATTTTTTAGCATAAAAAGAATAATTATTAAAAATTATTATTGCAGCTGAATATTAAATCATATTTATTCTAAATTTTATTATAAACTTAATTATATTAAAAATATTTAATGTAATTAAGAAATTTAGTTAGTTAAATTGTGATTACTCATAAACAAAAGGCTTAACAATTAGGGATAAAAATGATTCTATCAGTTCTGTTTAATTTTACAAGTCAAAGTAAGTTGAATTAATTAAATAATGTTAGATAATTAATTTTAAGTAACATATAAAATTAAATTAATTAAGTTACACAGTTCAAATGAAGACATTTAAGAATGAAATCATAATACTGATTATTTACTGATTCTTCGATAATTCTGCTATAATACTATTCTAATAATCATTTCTAATCTCACACTAATTCTTGCTAAAATTCTAGACAAAGCCAGTAAATTATATAACATAAATACTTCATATATATCAAACTAAATCAATAAAAAATATATATCTATATTATTTTGATAATCTTCTTATAACTGTATAAATTATTATATATAATTTTAAATTATCGATAAAATATCAAAGAAATATTAATAAATAATCATAAATATCTTATATTACATATTTGAGATATCAGAAATATGATAATTATTATATTTTACTTAGTATTTATTTATTTATATATATGTACATTATTTTTGTATCTGATATCAATTGATATTTATAGCGATAGTAATAAAATTATATATATAAACTTATATTATATGCCTATCAATTATATGACTTTTATATTAATATGAGATTCGTAAAAAAATTGTCGTATTATTAAATTATTAATGTTTGTCTTTATTCATAATCAAGTAAATAATATGATTGAGATACCATCTATTTAGAAGTATCTTTTGGTAGTTTAGACTTATTAAACTATTTATTATCCTGATACTAATAATGACGTATGATTTTTACATAGCTGATACTTTCACCAATTTGATCAGCTTTGCAAAGTAAATTACATGCCTATTGAAATAAAAATATAAACATTGATAAATTATAAAAGTATTAAATAATTATTGTAAATAATTTACACAACTTAATATTCATAGCTTATCATAAACATAAATAATATGATTTGATAGACTTTTATTTTTTAGTCAAATTTTTTCTTTAATTTCTTTATTTGTGAGCTCTTTATCAGTTTCTGATATTTTGTCAATATGATATACATCTTCATTCATCATTAATTTACAATCTTCTTTAAATTCATTTAATAGTAAGAAGGCTAGTTGAAAAGTATCAAGTAAATTATCATTAATAATAAGCATATAAGTTCCTTTTATTATCACTTTTTTTCTATTATTTTAAAAGAAAAAATGTTAAAACATAATAAGTTAGAATATTTTATAATGTTTTCTTATTGGTATTTATATTACTTCTTTTAAAATTAGTTCTTTTTCTTTTTTTTCAATTTAACCTTATCTGGATTAAGTTTTATCTTCTATTATTCTTGATAATAATGATGTAATTGCTGTAAGACCCATTTTAATTCTATTTTTTTATATTAAAATCTTCCTAATATAACTTTTCTGATTTCTTTTATAATATTCTTTGAAATATGATGTGAAATTTTGCTCTAGTTTTTGGTTAGATTGAGTTGTAATAAATTATCAATTCCTTGAAGAATTTGTATTACTTCATTTTTGAATCAACAAAATGATTAAATAGTATTAAATTTATATTAACAAAATGACAATTGCTCGATACTTACATAAAATGACTATATTATTTCTCAGTCATATCCTCTAAAATAATACAGATATGACAATAGTACCTAGTAGTTGTGTTTGAAGTAAGAGATGAGTTTCTTTCTCTTGTATAAATAATTCACTTTGTTGATTTTTTTTAAAATTATAAACATTTTCTGTTAGTTTTATAATAGCTCTATTTAAAGCTTCGATATCTATAAATTAAAGATTACAATATTACATAATATTATTAGAAAAATTGAATAAGATTAAAGTGGCAACTTAATTACACTATTATTTTTTTGAATAGTAAATGAATCATCTTGAATAAAAGCAGGTAATAATTTTCTTGGACTAGTATCAGATAAATGTGTTCATCTTGAACTAATATCAGATGAACATGTTTAAGATTTTGATTTCTGAGCAGTAAAAGTTTGCGATTTTGAAGTTTGAATGGTAGAAGCGACAAAAATGATAGGAGATTTATAATTTTTAGATGGTATAAGAACATTCTCTCTAAATATCATTATGTTAAGAAGAATCTATTTCTTAAAAAGAAAATTATTTGTTTTTTCCCAAAAGATTAATGAAAGAGAAATTAAAAGGAAAAAACAATATTATTATCATTGATCAAAATATATATGATAATGATGATGCTGATAATGATAATGATATTGTCAGAGATTATGATGACTTCAAAGAAAATTTTGAATCTTTATTTAGCAGGTTTAATGCATCAGAAAATATGTATAATAATGACAATTTAGAAATGCCTATTATTAATTTTAATGAAGGATTTAACTAAATTGTTTTATGAATTTTATTATATCAAGAAAGATATTGACTATCTGATGTAGCAACTGATTCTTTAGTTAAATTTATTAGATATATTCTAATTCTTATAGATATAAATACATATAACTCTTTTTCTGCATCATTGTATATGATACAAAAAACTTAGTGTTTATTCATATTGTCAAATATGTAACATGTGAAAATGTTGCAAATTATATAATGTAACAGAAATATCAACTGAAAGACCTAACCAAAATCTAACCATAAGGTATTATACTTATACAGATTTTTTAAATCATCTGATGTTAAACCAAAAAGAAGAATGTAAGACTAAAATCGTTAAAGCAAATTCATACTAAAGATAAAATACTATATCAACCTTCTTTAATATTTCTGACCATCAGTTTAAAACATCAACTGCAATTAATGTATAATAGAAAAGGATTTGAAGAATTATATAAGAAGTAGGCAAACTGATATAATGATTCATAGTATTTAAACGACATTTACAATGATAGAATTTAGAAATCTTTTTAGGATCAAAACTAAAATTCATTCTTTCAAAAGAAAGTTACAGATCAACATCTAGACATTATGTTGAACCTTAACTAGTTTTAACCTTTTGATAATACCAATTATAGTATGGGAGCTTTGTATAGTGTGATCTGTAACCTTACTAAAAATTAGAGGTAATTATTATAAATAAAAATTCATAATGATTAAAATTTTGAGTTAAGAACAATATTTTTTTCATTAATATTAATCTTTACTTAATATTGATAGGTTTAAATTGTCAAATATCTTGATATTAGTATTAATCCCTGATCCAAATAAAAAAAGCCTTCATCAACTAAATCATTACTTAGCATCCTTAATTGATCAGTTAATCGAACTGTTAAATGGAATTAAAATATCAACTACATATGAAAATTCTAAAGGTAAACTTATCAGAGCTGCAATAATATATTGCTTTTATAATATTCTGGCTATAAGAAAATTTTACAATTATATATACATGCATATAGCTTATCATAGGTATTTAAAAAAAGCTCAATATAATAATTATAATTAGCTGAATTTTAGCAGATTTGATGATATAAATAAATGGTTTATTGAAAAGACATTGACCAAATCTAAAAAAAAGCGCAGAGATAATTAGATTGCAATACTAATGAAGTCAAAAAAAATCACATTCATAATACTTTAGTATATTGATCTGAAATATATTGTTTTCAATATTTTAACTTAGTATAATTTCTTGTAGTAGATCCTATACATTGTTTATTTTTGAGTATTACTAAATGAATAGTAATATGATTATAGATTAAAGAAGATTGGTTAAAATAATATGATCTAAAAATAATGCAAATACAAGTAAAATTAATGAAGATTTCAGCAGACATTGATAGAATCCCATTCAAAATTGCTATATAAAAAGGTTTTTCTGGTTTTATTGTGAATCAATAAAAAATATTTATTTTAGTTTATACTACTTTCATTACATAGTATCTGCTTAAAGAATCAGATAAAATGATTCTTACAAATTTTATTCATGTATACAATATTTTTGTATGTAAGTCTATATCTAAAGATGGATTAAAAAAAATTCACAAATATCTATTAACAATGACAATACTAATCAAAAGAATTATGGTCTAGAAAAAATTACACTAAACTTACATTTATGTTTACATATTTGTCATTGTGTATTAGACTATAGACTATTATATGCATTTTGGTATTTTATTTATAAATAAATGAATGGATTATTAGAAAATTATGATATTCTTATTATCAAATTAAATTTATTGATATATATTAAATGTATTAATTATTATTAAATGTATTTATAAATTCATATAATAGCAGTAATAGAAGAATTAAATCAGAATTATTAAAAACTATTTAATGCAATTCTTTACTTGATCAATATTCTTTGTGTGTTCAAGAGTATAGTTATTTATTAACTTGTTTACCTCTAATAACATCAAGAGATACTGTAGGTAGTCTTGTAATATCTGATAAACCTGATGAGATAGGTTATTAAAATTTTCTGTCACTATCTAAAAATGTGAAAGAAATAGCTGAAACAGAAACAGAACCTTTTCTGAAAACTTTTCTTAATCCTAAAAGATTAGACACAACTTTTATAGATGATATATTGATATTATTTTTGAATATTATAGTAATGCTTATGGCAAAGATTTTATAGCATTGTTAAATATTCACATTATACCAACTGATTCTATACCAGTTTTGCTAAAAGTAAATATTTATGGACAATTACAACTTAGTTCTGAGATTTTTGAGTCTTTTTATTTTAAAAAGCATATAAAGTTAACCAATATCTTATTCCAATTTATTTATGAAGATACCAAAGATACTTATTCTGATACTGTTCAATTTTATTTTGAGCATGCAGTATATTTTTTAGAAGGATCTAAAAAGTATTTTTTAGCATTTGTAAAATGGTATTTACTAGTAAATAAATATAAAATTAGATTCTATTGTAAGATTAATAATGATGATAGTTCTTATAATATTGAATTATGAAAAAGAGAATTTTTTGAACTTAGTAGGGATTGTATTATTTTAATACATAGTATTTTAGATCGATTTGTAACAAGTTTATTTTCAATAGACAAAAAAAATCCTAAAAATTATATATCAATAACATTAATTAATAGAAAGATTCATGTATAAATTTACTGTATGACAAAAAATATATCTTTGCAATAAAAAATAATATTTTATTTATTCCTACTGAAAACAAGACCAATTTTTTTATGATTAATATATTTATTATAATAATAAATCAACATTTATTTTAAACACTATATGCAAATATATCTTTTTATTATTTATGACCCTTTTATAATATAATCAATCTATTGTAAACTCATTGAATATTATTACTTAAAATATCAGATAATTCTGATGATTTACTGTGATTCTATCGATATCTTAATAATAAATCAGAAATTTATTTATTAATAATCGAAAAATCTATTTTTTATTTATTTAACTCTGATATACTTTAAAAGTTATCAGTATCTTATAAAGTAAAGTTTATAGATCTATCAGAATTTTGATTATTCAATGATCAGAAAAATAAGAGCCAGTAAGAAATCAAAGTCTGATATAGTCATAATTCTTAACTAGCTTTTAGTACTTTGATTCTTCATTATTCAACTTATGTGTAATTTTATAATTATTATAAATATAATCATTTAATCTAATATTAATTGAATCTATATTATTTTTTTTCAAATATAAAAAAATTAGGATAGGAAAAAAAATAAAAAATAAAAAAATGGAAAAATAAGAAAATATTCATTAAAAAAAAAAAATATTATCTTATATCAGTAATACTTGTAATATAATATCTCTATAATAAAGTATTTTACTATTAATATATTTTATATCTTTTAAAATACTCATAGCTATAATTCAATTTTTAAATTACTAAAATTAATATATATCTAAAGTATTTTAAATAGTTTTATATAATATTTGATTCATACTTATTAAAATATGAATATATTTTACTATATATAAAAGAACTATAATTTAACTTACTAAGGTATAAATATACTTTACAATATATAAAAAAACTATTAGTTAAATATTAAATTACTATATAAATTATAAAAGATATATCATTCAAATATCTTGTCTAACTATTGTAATTCATAAAAATTATATATTAATAATATAAAATAGTTATTAATATTTATTTACTTTTTATTAGAAATAATAGAATTTGTAAAAATAATGAGAATAATAGTAATAATAAAAATGTGATGTTCTTTATTAAAATGTATTATTATTATTCTAATTTAAAATGAAGTCAAATATTTTATATTACTAATTTTTAAACTATTAATTTTTCTAATTTGCTAACATTAGAAAAGTTATAGTAGTAATCATTATAAAAAAATGTTAATATTTTTAGTTATTTTGCAAATATATAAAGTTTTAAAAGAACAATCAATTAATATATTATTTTATACTAATTATTTATTCTTTTAATAATCAATAATTGCTTAAACAGAAATTAAAAAAGTAAGCATATATTATTTTTCTTTATAGTTATCAATATTGTATTATGATTGTTGAGTAATTAATAATTGATTAAGTAAAAATTAAAATATTATTCCATTTATAATTATTGATATTATGCAAAATGATCAAAAATTCTATTAAGGTAATAAGTGAATAAAATTAATCAGAATCAGTTAATTTAATCAACTTAGCTAATATTTGATTGATTTGATTAACTAATCTGATTTAATTTATTATTTTTTTTTATTTAGTTGTTTATTATGTTAATTGTTTATAAAATGGTCAACTAATTTAATCTAATTTTGCTATTTTTCTTTGTATTTTAATTGAATAGTTCATTAATTATTTATAAAAAAATGTCTAATTATTTTTAAGTTTTAAATAAAATTTCAGTTTAAAATTTTATGTTTTAATTAGGTAATTCGTTAATTGTTTAAAAAAAAATGATATGAAACTCATTTATAAAAAATAAATGCAAGGTTTTAGTATTTGCCAGAGAGTTTATTTTTATTTATTAAAAGTTTTTCTGAAGCAATTATTAATAATATTAAAATCAAGATTTTTCTAATTTAATCTGTATGTATATTTGATCTAAAGCTATTACCTATAAAAGAAAGTGAACTAGAAGATTATGCTAACGAAGATTTCTGTTTACTATAGAGTAGATAAAATAGATGGTAAAGGAAATTTATAGAAAAAGTCATTGATAGTGATGATGTAAAACAGGAATGGGTGGTATTAAAGTATTACTTAAAATAAATTAAAAGTTAGAAGGATAGAAATATATTTTTTAATATATATCCATATTTTTCAAGTGAGTTTTCAAATATCACTAAATTAGTTAAAATTTCATTAATTATCCCTTTATCTAATGCATAAGTTGAGAGAATATTCTCTTAACATAAACTCATCAAAACTCAGTTGAGAAACAAAATAAATGTTGAA